CCTCCCATCCTGTCCCCCTCCCCTTTTTCTTCTCCCCTTCCCCCACAACTGCTCTGTAGCATGGCATGGTCCACGCCAGGGCAGGATCCTAAAGGAGTCAGCTTGGGCTGCCCTCTCTGAGTTGGCAGGACCACCAGAGGGAGAGCTGTTGGCAAGGCCACAGCTACAAGCACTTGCTACAATCATAAGGGTTCCTGCCTCGGCTTCATGGTACTGCTTTTGCTTTCTCTTTTGATATTTTCGTTAGCGTGACAGTTCTCTGAATTCCCAAAAGATTATAAAAATAGCACAAATGGGGGCCGGTCCGGTGGCACACTGCTACAGTGCGCTGCTTGGGAGCACAGTGGCGCTCCCGCCGAGGGTTCGGATCCCACATACAGACCGGCCGCTCACTGGCTGAGCAAGGTGCGGGCGCAACACCGAGGGTTGCGATCCATTGCCGGTCACGAAAAAAGACAAAAAGGAAAAAAAAAATAGCACAAATGATTATGTGGTCATTGAACTAAACATTCCCACAGAGGATCCGAGTAAATTGGACAATTTAAAATTATCCCGTTATGATAAATTGACCACACCAACATATGTTCCAAAAGCACCGCTCATGACTAAATATGAGCTGCAGCCTAAACATGCGAATTATATATGGAGTACAAAATGGGGAAAGGAAAAATCTGGTATCCCCCGAGAGAACGTCCAAAATATGATGTAAATTGGCAAACATCATTTACTGGAGATTATATTAATGGCAAGAGAATGGCAAGAGAATTATATTAATGGGAAATTATATGATTGGGATAAATTAAGTATATGGGAATGAAACCATAGAATTCCCTTTCCTTGGTGGTGTCCAGTTTTAAATAAATCATTAAAAATCAGGTATTGGGATAAAAATATATTCTGTAAAATTATTAAACCTACAAAATTAGATCTTAGAAGAATAAGAGAGTACACCTAGTTTTGTGAGGGATGGTGCTGTGCACAAGGACACTTTAACATTTAGATCAAGATTATAGGGCCACAGCCAATGCATAACCTTAAAATGTGCATGATAATGCTGCTCAAATATC